TATTATTATTATTATTACTTGTTTTTATCGAATCGTTTTTTAAAAAAATTTATTTTAAAATATAATATTGAACAGTTGCAGCATTTGAAATTTTTTTTCTATTTTTTATTATTATTATTTATTTTTCAAAACAAATTATCAGTATTATTATTATTTATCATAATCGTACGAAAAAGAAATAAAGAAAAAAAAAAAAACTTACAGACTAAATATATATATATATATATATATGTATTAAATATACATATATATTTTATATGCGTAAAGAATACTATTAATAATAATAATAATAATAAAAGAAATATTATTACAGACTCAGATAGTTGACAATCAAATGAAACATCAAATTAATACATTTAAAAAAAAAGAAAACAAAAGAAAAAAAAAATATAAAATTGTAGTTGTGGTTGTTGTGTTTGTCGTAGCAGCAGCAGCGGCAACAGCGGCAACAGCAGCAGTAGCACCACCAGCACTAATGGTTATAATAATAATAATAATAATAAAAATAATAATAATAACAACAACAACAATATTAATATTATTCATAATTTTTTTGAACCCAGTTTCATTTCCATGTTTTTTTTTTTTTTCATATATATGTATATATATATATATTTTTTTTTCTCTGTTTGTTTTTAATATTTAAATATATGTATATTTATCGATAAATTTTCTTAAATATTAGTCTTGGAAAACGACACGCGAAGATGATTCGATTCGCTCAGTTGATGATTGTGCATTTTCTAAAACGAAAAATAAATAAAAACGAAAAAAATTATTAATTTTTATTTTATTTTTTCTTTACTTTACGCGCCATTAAAATAATTACGACGCCATTATTATTAATTACGATTTTCGACGCTCGGAGCGCTCTCTTCGACTTTCTCTCCCTCCCACTTTAAGTCATAGAGTAAATAAATAAATAAAGAAATGATGATTTGATCGCGACGTAAACGTACGTCTGCTACGACGACGACAGCGCTCCAAGCGGCGAATTTTTATTTATTAAATAACGGCAATATGGACACACTCACGATAAGGGCAGATACAGCCTGGTCGACGCTTTCCAAATTGATCAAAGCCATTTTTTTGTCTTTTGGAAAAAATTTGAAGCTTTTCACCTCGAAACCGGCTTCCGCGAAAGCTTCCTCAATGTCTTCTTCGGTGACGGTAGGCCTGGACAAAAATAATAATAATAAGAATAATAGTGTTAATAATAACCGTTAGAAAAAAAAATGTGAAAAATATACTTACGGAATGTTTGATAGGTGCAGAGTCGAACTCGGAGGATAAATATTTTGATAATTTTTCGAACCCGGTTTTTTAAAACGGTGAAGTGGAGAATTAACATAATCTTTGGTGAGGCCAGCATCTGGCTGTCCATCTTTAGGCATTTGAACGAGCGTGTGTTTGCTCGCAACGACGGTTATGTTTTTTCCGAAAACTCTTATTTGGTCTAAATGTTTCATAGCTGTTGAGAGAGAACAACACACAATCAATCATCATCATCATCATCATTATTTCCCCCCCCCCCGAAATAATAATAATGATTTCTTATTTACCTATGTGAGCTTGCAAGGGCTCCGCCATTTGAACCAGGGCCGAATCTTTTTTGTTGTACAAAATTTTTACCCTCTGGACGTCCCCATAAACACCTGAAAAATTAAAAAATTTCATCATCATTATTATTATTATTATTATTATCACTCTTAAACACGACAAGGCTCTTATTTGTCGGGGTTTTTAAGCATTTATCCCAGGTCTCTACCCGATTCCTTAGGGACAAATACTCGAATATCGGTGGTGCTATTTATAATATTTTCCGAAGAATGTGGGCCGTCCCACATAGTGCGATTTCCTGGATGGTTTCTTCTTTTAGGTTCTTCATAATCTTCTTTAAATTTCCTTTTATTGAATTTGGCATGGCTCCCAATGCTCCCACGATGACCGGAATCGTTTCAGTTTTTGTTCCCCACATCCTGGTTATTTCAATTTCCAAATTTCTGTATTTCAGCCTTTTGTCTGCTTCTTTGGCTGTGGTGTTTTTTTCTGCCGGCACGGATACCTCAATTAACTTACACCATTTTTCCCCATTATGCCTGAGTATGATATCCGGTTTGTTAGCTGGCACAGTTCTATCAGTGTGGATTTGTTGATCATATAGAACTGTGCATGGACCTACTGTCGTACGGCTTGTATGTGATGTACACTCCTTGGGTATCCATCCATTCCATAT